TTTCAGAATAATCGGAGATCCGACAATGGATTGGCATGAATGACACGTACTATTTTTAGAGAAATTTATTCTTATGTTTTAGATTGACACTTTTATGTTTAACAATAATCATTTCGTACCCTGAGAGTGTAGTTTGAATTCATATTTTGAGACAAAAATGTTTTAATGTTCCTGTGTGTTTTTTTTTTTATGATTTCAGAATTTTGCCATATATATTTTTTTTAAATTGTGCTATCGTCAATAAATTTGGGATATTAAATTAGTGTTTCTTGAAGGTTGAAGACTGAATTGATGATGAAATTGCTTAATATTTTTTATGGTGGCTTAATTCAGTTCATTTGAGTTACACTACTGGAAACTAAATATTTCCAATTTCTGCCTAAGTTTAAATACTCACCCAGACGTAAATACTTGGAACTTTGAGATGATTCCAGTTCGAAAAGATAGCCATATGAGTTATCCATCTCTTGGATTTGGAAAAGAAACTTTTTTTGACCAATCCATTGATTGAATTTATATACGAATTTTTAACCTCTAATTCCCCTGTGCATGATATCTGTAATTAAAATTTTGTAAATTTTGGAATTCATTCATTTGTCGTACGAGATTTATTTAAAAAAGTCGTACAAGCCAAAAGCCTAAACTTTCCGAATGAAAATTTCTTAAATTTTGTAATGAATTCTCTAAAGCCTTAATGTTTTTAATACAAGTTAAATTTCTGCATTTTATGAACTATTTAGGTAGAATTTTATAAATTTCAAGTCTTTGTAATGTCATGAGTTCCCAGATCTCAGGGCATTACATCAAGCTTCAAATCGATTTGGATTAATCGTAAATCATGCATATCCATTGAGTGAAACAATAATTGAAACAAGGACCCATTAGAAATAGAGTAGATCTTGGAAGATAGAAAGGGCAATGGAAATATGGTTACCGGTAAAGAAAGCCAATGACACACGCAGCTCCAAAAGATGGAACAAGATACATAGGAAATGAGGTATATTTATTTCTCTTTAGAATATCAAATAAACTCGGTCCAAGCTTCTCAAACACCTGGTAACAACATTAAAATGCATTCAAAGGAAGTTCTCCATCAAGATTTCATTGTTATGAATAATGTTCATATCATCAATTCAGGTTAAGCTACCACAAACTATACATTTATTCACATAGGGCATGCATATTGCTGCATAAATAACGAGTCGTGCTATGCATCACTGCTTAAAGAGGTGACTGTTCGAAGAGAGCTCAAGAAAGAAGAACATGGATGTGGAATTCCGTTGGAATACTTACTATGTATATATGGCTGCAATAAAAAACCAAGCCCCCGTTTGACATCTTTTACTTTAATTTAATTTATTTCTCGTATTTTAACCACACATTCAAACAATAATATATTTTACAAGTAAACTCAAAAACTTTTTCCCATATTTTAACCACACATTTTCCAAAAAATACTATTCAAAACAATGTTTTGTAAATTTTAAGGATGTCTAACAGGGGCCAATTTAGCATCATCACACAGCTGCTAAAGGTTGAAATAAATAAAACCAGTAAATTCTATGTGGAGCCAATAAACCAGTCATCTAGAAGCAATACACACTGAATTGCCTTCATCATTCCTGGCAACATGCTGAAGTACATCAATCTTCCATCATTGCTACATCACAATACTTCTGAATGCTTCTGACTACTTTGATCGCAATGTATTCTCGTGGTTGAACGATCCTACTAGGCCAAATGTTCCCACAGGACTAGCAATTTGCTGATTTTATACAAGAATATGAGAAAAGTATAAGGTATTTTTTATTAGCTGGCTCGTTGCAGCAAACGTTCACCATCTTGCCGAGTATTTTCTCTATGGAAAACAAGACGGCATAAATTGCAAGTCCCAATTAAGGATTGGCAAATCTCTTTCAAAGGGCTTATCAAACCGAAAAACCTTATCCACGCTAATCAAATTGTATAACCATCCTCATGAATCAGGCTAAAAAAATTTCAATCATTTTCCTTCCTTTTAATCTTTTACAGATTTTGGATGTTGAATAACTATGTGTCATGAAACTGTAAAACTTCTAACTCTTCATTTTATTCTTTTTTCCTTTCAATCGAATCCTTGAACAACAGAAGCAACCTTGATATTATAGTCTATAAAATGAGATGCCCTGTAAGGTAAGGGTTTCACAGCATTTCAACAAACTTACAGTCACCAAATTTCACCTCAGCTACATATATCTCTTTCCTAAGCAATTAAACTCTCAATTCACATATACCTTAACAAGGGTGATAGCACAAGTACTATGCAAAATTGTAAACATTTCTAATCACAACATTTCGTTCACATGTTCAAAAGAGCAAACGATGCAAGAAACTCCATTGCTTGGCATCAAAATGCATGACCTAAGCAATATTTCTAGTGAAACTAAAAGAAAAAATACATCTAGGGGTGAGATTCTCGCCCAAGCTAAACACGAAATACCCCTCACGATTGTCATCCCTCCTCTGGGGCGAAATGTGTAGCGCAACACTGAAGCCGGACGTGGTCCAGCATCAAAATTCTCACCGTCTCTTTCATTACCCTACAAAAGAACCCAGCTAAAAATTGTTCCCTTTTTAGAAAGAAACTCAATTATAAATTGTTCCAACAAAGACAAAATTGAGGGCGGCGGCGCCACGTCCCACTTCCTCCTTCCATGGTCACCATATGCGACCTTGTATATGTACGCAGGGGAACACCCACATGGGGTCATGTGACCCCACAAAATTTTGGTTTTTTTTTTTTTTTAAAGGTTGTTTTAACTCGTTTTTGACCCACTTTAATACATACCAAATGAAAATGAAATATTGCATTCTTAATATTATTTCTAAGCATTCATATCCTAATTTTTCGCTTCTTACTAGCGTGCGAAATGATCGACCATACCAAAAGATACGAGATATTAAACTTTTGACCCCACAACCCAAAATGGCTGGGTCCGCCCCTGTATCTACGTACAAAGCTGTATGAATATATATGTATGTACTTTTACGGGATGATTCTGTGCTTGTGTATCTTTCTGCAACCAAAACGAGAAGCAATTAGGTCAAAATCATAGAGGTTACAATTGGGAAATTTGCAGAGGAACTCTCGATGGGTGTAGAAGTAGAATTTGAGAGAGAAATAATCATAAAATGGAAAATGAACCCCGATGATTTGATTAGAAGGACCTAGTAAAATTTTATTTGTAAAATACTCCCTTCAAATTCTACCTAATACAACATTTTGCCCCTGAATTCTTGGAAATAGGAATTAAATTATGCCCTTTAAATGGTCTACACCAAATTTGGCATAATTTTACACTGAATTTGGTGTAGATATTGGATATCATTTTACATTAAATTTTACGATTAATTTTATTTGAAATTATTTTATACCAAAATTTATTTTACGAATTTAATGATATAAAATACTACATTTATTAATAAAAAAATAAACATAATACTGAAAATTATAAAAATTAAATTAAGCGCATAATGAAAATTACATATAATAAGGATGACAACTCGTTTTGTCACTTTTTTTATCTGAATTAATTTATTAATTTATTGCTGAAATAATTATTACTTATTAATTGATTAGAATTTAAAAATAAATAAAAATAAAAATAACCATCATATTAAAGTAATTATGAGTCAATTAAAATTTATTTTTATACAAAAATATTAAATAAGGATATAGATAGAAGAAACGAAATTTGAGAAAGTGTAAACAATGTCAGAATGGAGTTAAATGAAAATTCTTAGATCTGTTGTAAATAAATAGTACGCTATCTTTTGCACTTTATTTGTGGTACCATTGGATGAGCTTTTACACTTTACACCAAATATAGCCCCATTTGAGATGCCCTAACATAACACCCCTCGCCCCTTCCTCCCAATGACCAAATATTAAAGATGAGCATCAAATTGATTTCAATTTCTTATAATATACAAAAACAAGATTAGTCAATTCAGGGTTAAGTTTAATTTCATTACCATGAAACTATTTAATTCAATGTGTAGTATTTATTTTGGTCCACTTTTTCTTCGAAATTGGACCAAATTACATTACACGTCTACAGTCAAAATGTAATATTCATATCAATTTTTTTCATCAAAATAAACGTTGTTATGATTTACCTTTGAATTTGAATTTTGAAATTTTTCCATGAATGATTCTGTAAAAATGAAGTGTAGGAAGGGATATGGTTTAATTCGAGGGAGAATGAGAATTGAAGGCTACACGAGTAATTTCAAGTCAAAAGTTGAGGATAGGGTGTTTGTCTATCTCAACTCTTTTGCCGAATATTTTTTACAGAAATTTTTATACAAAAATTTATTTTTGAACAATTAGCAACCAAATATTATTGTTAACTAGACTTTTAGGCAAATTTTCCAAACTACAGCCCCGTTCCCCCGCCCCCCTCCCCATTTTTTCCAAATTATAATGGTTGAAATAATGTTTTTTTTAAATGTGCAGTTGAAAATGAATGAAAAGTTTTTAATTAATGTATAATATTATTTTATGAAAGATTGTGTAATTGAAAATAAGAGAGAAAAAGAATAAAAAAAAATGAGGGCTACATCTATACACAATTTGATCTTCTCTTTATAGTCATTGGACACTATTCATCGATGCTAAACAAGTCAAGCCAACCATCAACAACGTGTACGGATTAAATAACAATCATTACCACAACTTTACCTTCATTCTTGTCATGACATTTCATTGCTAAAATTTGATGTCATGTGAAGAATATTGCAAATAATTAACAACTCGATTAACTCCCAAGTCCTCAAGGAGCTCTTGAAGCCAAGTTCTATTTGGTCTTATTTTTTCTTTAATGTTTGTACGAAAATATGGTCACTTTTTTTTTTTATTTTTTTTATTTTTTGCATAAAAGTTCATAATAGGACCTCATTTCACTATGTCATTGTGAAAGGGTGTTTTTTTTTAAAAAAAAATACGCATTTTGACTTCATTTTCGCAATCTGAATCTCCACACGACTCCTTCGAACTCTATATATATGAACATCTCCTCCGAACATTTCTTTCATCCGCTTCCAGATTTTACTTCTTCATCTGTACAATTCAGACGTCTTACATGTAAATTCCAGAATTCTATTCATGGAAGACAAAGACACAGAGCTACTGTGCAAGGTCACTGTAAACCATCTATTCTTGGCTCAATTCGAGCCTTTCCGGGCCACGGTGCGGAGCCTCCGAGCCCGAAATCCGGACCTGACAAGGGCCATCCTCCAGACAATAGTTTCCAGTGGCGGACGGCTGGGAAACGATGACTTGGATGCGGAGGGTAGGATTCTGTGGTCCGACTCATGTCCTTCACCTGCCGTACTCACCTTCCTCTGCACCCTCGAGCTCCTTGAGTTCCCCGATGCCACCTCGCAGCTCTGGTCTTTTGATGATAATTCGCTAAAATTGCGTGCTGAGTTCTTGCTATATGTCCACACGATGAGCGCTCGGGTTTTGAGTGAGTTCAAAGAAAGTGTAAATTTGGAGGGAAATGAGAATTTTGATGAAGGAACTACGAGAAATGAGGAGTTGAGGATTTTGCAAGGGTTTTTGGAGGTGGGTTCGAGCAGGTTGAAGCCGGATTTGACTGAGTTGGAAGAAAACAGAGAAGAAAATGATGGTTTTTCAGGGGGTTTCACGGAAGAGGAAATAATGGGATTGAGGGGGTTAATTTTGAAGATTCCAGACATTTTTTATGTGTTGTGCGGGAACATAGATAAGCAAGTTGGGTGCGTGGAGAATGATGATTCAGGATTGGCAATCACATTAAGAACAGATATGATGCGGAGGGAGAAGGAAGAGAGGATGCTCAGATTGATACAAAAATGTGTCCAGGTAGCACATATAGATGCCATGAGGGAATGTTTGGAAGAAAATAATGAAGATGGTGCGGTTTCACATATTAGGTTTCTTCATTTGGATCACGGAGTGGAGGAGGCCGAGTACAGGTATGGATCTTGTTTCTTTGCTAACCTTGACTGATATGTTACTTGTCTGAAGACTACGCAGAGTGTGGAATAGGCAGTATATTGGCTGGCAAATGTGTTGCTGGTCATTAGTTGAATTTCTTTGTGGTTATCTGTGAACTCATCATGCCTTTTATAGGTTATAATAGATTGTCTACAGCATTGTAGTGAATGTTTTCTGGTCGTTATTTATTTAGAGATACAAGTTCTCTCGACCTGCAATATTGAGTTTTATCTGATTCTTTCATTTTTCCGTAATCCGAAAAAATGACAAGGTATTATAATTCTTGTATTGTTCACATATTGTACAGTTTTTTGTCAAATCATTTTGGTAATGGAGTAGAGAATAGGAGAAGCTTGAGTTAAATTTCGGAACTTAGAAAAGGCACAGAGCCTTAAGTTCTCGTTTATTTTGGTATACACTTTGAAAAAATTAAAAGGTTAAAGGACTTTGTTTAAGAGATAAATGAGTGCTATAAGATGTATGCTCATGAGAGTGTTGGGGCATATGTATTCATGGATGCAGCCATGCATTTGGTAAGATGTACCTGTAACCGGTCCCACGTGGAACTTGAATTGCTTGCTTAACTTATTGGTACGGTTAAAAACTGCTGCAGCTTTCATTGCTGGAATCTGATCTTTTGTTCGAATCATTAACATTCATGTCTTTACCTTTCTGATCTTTAATGATCCAAAAATAATATGCACTTACCCGATTTACAATCACTACTTTGAAGAAATAAAACAACAGTCATGCTATTGCAGAAACAAATATGTCATGATACTCAGAAACAGTATGACATTAACTACAGAAGTAAAAAAATAATAGGCAGAATTACTGATCAAGGACGTATATACCAATAGAAGTCAATATTTTTTAATGGAACTATTCAATTAGTATTTCCCAGAACTTAATGTTTTGTGCCTTGCCTCGAGTTTTGTGCACGGCTCCTTGTAGAAGTTCACCTTTACCTTCTCTTCTACTTGTAATTCCTAACCTAACATCTCATATGACTTTCAGTCAGTTGTGTAACATTGCATACCTTTTTAGCAAAACTGATAGCTGCTGGGCTGTGTTTTGGCAAATCATAATTTACCTTTCTTCTTGTTAATTTTGATTATAATCTTCTAGCTATTTATTTTTACTTTGTTTTATTTTCTAATAGCATGATTTTGCAAGATCTCCTCAAGAAGTTTTCATCAGGGAAGGCTGATTATGGAGATAACTGGCAGGCTATGCGAGCTAAAGTCTTCTTAGTGTATTCAGAAGCACTTTCGTCTAATTGCACACGCCTTGCTCAAATGATTCNGGTTGGATGAGGATCCAACCGGTGAAATACACGTACCGGGATTGACTCATAAGGAGCTATTATCAATTACAGAACATGAAAAGTAGGGAGGAGTTGAACATTGTGAGTCTCAGGAGATGATGGAAGCGGGATACTACAACGACGACGACGGGGGGGTTGACTTAGTGGGGTTCAACCGGAATGAAGTAGACACGGGAATTGCAGTAGAACGAGAGGTAGAATCACTGTCTAAGGAAGGGGAGTCGAATATGGAGAACTTGGAGACGATGACAATGGGCGTTGTGAAAGAAAACGAAGCGACATATTCGACATCAAGGATTATGAACACTTATAATAGGAGGACAAAAGAAAATGACATGGGGACCGAAAGAGCTTTGGTGTTGTGGGTAGATGGTACCAAGAAGGGAGAAAGCGGCAGTGACGTTATACAAGTGGTTGAAGAGAAAGAACGGTCCTTTGATCATCTGGAGGGTTATCACGGAGAAGAAACTTCGGAAGCTGATGTGTTTGAATTTGTACACCCACCTTCGAGCTAGGTTCTACAAAAAATTCAGGAATTCAGTAAGTTGGTCGGCGTGTCCTGTAATGGATATGAAAGTAGACTGTTACAATTATTCGAGGAGCTGGAGGCTAATAGGGGACAAGGCATCAGTACACATGGAGGTAAATTAAGACGAAATGGTGATCGCAAACTTAAGAGGCTCGAATGGTTAGTAAATTATGCTGGTAAGGGTGGCAAGTCCAAGAAAGGAACAATGGGAAGGGTTGACAGAGTATTAAAATGATGTCAAAACTCATTAGCTGGAGTGCACGGGGGCTCAATGAGGTTCGTAAAAGGCTTGGTGTTCGACATCTGCTAAAGGGATGGGGGCAAATCTTGTATACTTACAAGAAACTAAGATGGAGTTTATCTCGAGGGCGGTGATTAGTAGCTTATGGGGGGAAAACATGTAGGGTATCAGTTTTTGGGGTCATCAGGGGTATCAGGAGGCGTGTTGGTAATGTGGGACACTAGAGTGCTTGAGATGGAGGAGGTGAGTATAGGAGTGTTCTCTATATTGATTTCTTTTAAAAATTGTGAGGATGTATTTCGGTAAATGTTCACAGGAGTTTATGGGCCTAATTATGATGACAGTAGAGAGGGCTCGTGGGGATGAACTTGCTGAAATGATGGCTTGGTAGAATCTCCCAACATGTATTGGGGTGATTTCAATGTGATTCGATTTCCTTCGGAGAGGTCGAGTGGTGGGAGACTAACTAGGGCAATGGAGTTCTCAGATTTTATTAGGGAGAATTTGTTGGTGGATTTACCTATGATTGGGGGAGATTTTACCTGGTCATCTAATTGAGATCGACCTGTCTTGTCTCATATAGATAGATTCTTGATTTGTGGGGAGTGGGAGTCCAAATACTCAGATGTCACACAGACAAGATTGGGGAGGGTATACTCGGATCATTTTCCTATTATGTTGTCTGGGAATAGGAGGGGTAATGGAAGAAGGCCTTTTAGGTTTGAGAAGATGTGCTTGAAAGTTGAAGGTTTTAGGGAGCGAGTACAGACTTGGTGGACTTCCTATGAAGTCAGCGGGTCTCCCAGTTTTGTATTGGATCAAAAGCTAAAGGCGTTGAAAGGGGACTTAAAGAAATGGAACGAGGAAGTTATGGCAATGTTAATTGCAGGAAAAATCAGTGTCTATTAGAGAGAGGAGTTGGATAGGCGGGAGGAGAGTCAAGGGTTGGCTGGGGAGGAGAAGGGGAGATGTAGAGTATTAAAGGAAGAGATGGAGAGGTTGGTGGAGATGGAGGAGATTGCTTAGTGACAGAAGTCTAGGGTTACATGGTTGAAAGAGGGGGATAAATGCACTACGTTTTTCCACAGGGTCGCCAATTCTAATAGGCGGAACAATTTCATCACAGTTTTGGAGGTGGACGGGGTTACTTATAAGGAACCACAGGAAATTGGAAGCCAACTGGTGAATTTCTATCATAACCTCTATCGAGAGTAATTTGAATGGAGGCCAGAATTGGAGGGATTGCACTTTTCTACTATTACGGAGGATGATGCCAGTTGGATGGAGAGACCATTTGGGGAGGATGATATTAAGGAGATAGTGTTCAGCATGAACGATGATAAGGTTCCGGGATCAGACGGTTTCTCGTTCTCATTCTATAAGGCGTGCTAGGATGTGGTGCTACCGGACATTGTGGATATTCTATCTTATTTGTTTGAACGTGGCAGATTTCAGAGAAGTTCTAACGCTACATTTATTGTGCCCATTCCTAAGAAATTGGGAATGATTGATATTAAAGACTTTCGCCCTATTAGCCTTGTCAGTGGGGTATATAAGATTACAGTGAAAGTCTTTGACAGATTAAAGGAAGTGCTGGGGAAAGTAGTGTTCAAGTTTCATAATGCATTTGTAAAAGGACGTCAAATTTTGGACTCTATGCTTATAGCGAATTAATATATAGATTCAAGAATGCGTCTAAGGGTCCCAGGGATGTTATGTAAGCTAGATATTCAGAAGTCTTATGATCATGTAAGCTGGGGATTCCTGTTGATATGCTTAGGCATTGTGGCTTTAGGGATAAGTGGTGTAAATGGATTTAATTCTATATTTCTATTGTTTCATTCTCAGTTTTGGTCAACGGAACACTTGATGGTTATTTCCGGAGTAGTAAAGGCTTGAGACAAGGGGATCCATTGTCTCCATTATTATTTGTCATTGTTATGGAGGCTTTCAGTAGGATGATTGAAAGAGCTGTGGGAGCGGGTTTGATAAGGGGTTTTATGGTTGATCAAGTGCAAGTGTCTCATTTGTTATTTGCAAATGACACGTTGATTTTATGCGATGCAGTTGTTGAACAATTCAGGAACTTGAGCCGTCTGGGTGTCTAGTTTGAAGATCAATTTGGGGAAGTCTGAGACTATTCCAGTAGGGGAGGTCGATAACGTGGAGTTGGCTGATATATTGGGTTGTAAAGTTGCGCAGCTGTTGATATCATATTTAGGGCTCCCGTTAGGGGCACGATTTAAAAGTACCCATATCTGGAATGATATTGTGGAAAGGATGGAGAGAAGGTTAGTAGGTTAGAAGCGTATGTACCTTTCTAAGGGAGGTAGACTTATTCTCATTAAATCCACTCTCTCCAATCTCCCTACTTACTTTTTGTCATTGTTCCCCATTTCGGTTGCAATGGCAAAGAGATTAGAGAGATTTCAAAGAGAATTTCTGTGGGCAGAATTGGGGGAGGAGAGGAGACTCCATTTGGTCAATTGAGGTATTGTCCGTTTGCCAGTGAGGATGGGGGTCTTGGAGTGAGGAGCCTTGTGTTGTTTAGTAAAGCCTTATTAGGCAAATGATTGTGGCGATTTAGAGTGGAGAGGGAGAGCTTCTGGAGAGAAATCATTAGGGCGAAATATGGTTTGACAGAGGGGGGATGGTGAACGGTTGAGGATCGTGGTTCTTATGGGGTGAGTTTATGGAGGTATATCCAACGGAGATGGAGTGATTTTCTGGACAAACTGAAGTTTGTGGTCGGAAATGGTAATGAGATTAGATTTTGGGATGATTGTTGGTGTAGAGATCAACTGCTGAAGGAAGGATTTCCTTCCTTGCACCGCATTGCTCAGTACCCTTCTGCTATGGCGAGTGATCTTTTAGTCATTCATAATGGGAGCTATAGTTGGAATATTACTTTTGGGAGGGGTGTACAGGATTGAGAATCGGATGATTATTTGTTGTTTATGACCTTTCTACATGAGCCACAAATTCGGGCAGGAGAGAGTGATTGTAGCAGGTGGAGGATAGCACGAGATGGCATTTTCTCAGTTCGCTCTTACTTTAGTTCTCTCTTGGAATATGTGAATAATTCATTCCTCTGGAAGTTGGTGTGACAATGTAAATTGCCTCCTCGAGTGGCATTCTTATTGTAGACAGTTGTAAGGGGACAGGTTTCAACGGTGGATAATCTTCGACATAAAGGTTTTTACGTAACCGAGTGGTGTTATATGTGCAAGAAGGATGGGGAGACGATCGATCATTTGTTCATTCATTGTGATGGTGTTTGTTGGATTTGGAATGGTATACTTGGTTCTCAATTTATGGATTGGGTGATGCCTTGTCGTATAGAAGACGTCCTACGAGCATGGACGAGAAAACTTCGTGATAAGAATAGCAAACTAGCATGGCACCTTTTCTTGGGTTACATTGTATGGTGTGTGTGGAGAGAAAGGAACAACCGCTGCTTTGAAGACCAAACAAAGACAACAGAGCAAATAAGAGAAACATTACCTACAAAAAAAAAAAAAAAAAAAAAAAAGATAAATATGACTTGGAGCTTTTTAACTTAATGTGGATATTTTATGCTTGATAATGAAAAAAGGAGTCCTGCAAGGAACCTGATATGGGAACTGTCTTTTGAATCTGAGCAACATATGCCAAAGGCTAATTAGACAAAGTAGTTTTGAACTCAAAAAGTACAAATGCATTCTCCCCCGTCACGATGATATTCTAATGATAGTAAAGTTCTAAATGATGTATAGCAAGGAAACAAGATCCTTGAGTATTCGGTTAATTGAATAGAACTTTAAGGAGACATCTGCTATATGGTACTGGCTTTTTTATTTTTATTTTTAAGAAGTACCAAAGTTTGTATGTAGATAACACCCCGGGGATGTTCCTTTGTTGTTCTGAATGCAAGTTCTTCCTTGAGCTTTTCTTCTGGTAGCATTTACACCATCTTTTGTTGGTTGCCTGGCGAACTTTTTTAAGGGTTATAGGAGTACTTTTGGAAATTTGCACATGTATTAGGTCACCCTAATACTTTCCTAGTATATAAAAGGAATTAAGGCGAGCCTCCGTTCCACGTGTCATAATAGAGAGAGAAACAATGACAGACATAAATCCAAAGCATATTGTAATTCTCTATTTCGATATGGTGCAATTCTGCAGTGGCACCGAGTGATGTTGCACTCGCATCGAGAGTGAGGCACATTAAATTGCGTGTTTTTCTTGCTTTCGATTTTACCTATTTCACCTTATTAATTGCTCATGGTTTATGGGTTATTCATTAATCCATAACATTTTTTATTCCATCATTTCTGATTTGACATGAAATAAGGGTTTGAAAAGTAGATTTGAATTCTGACTGCTTGCTCAATTTTGACGTGTAGGCTCAAGGTATGCTTTCTGAGATCTATCCTGGTAGTTCTCCTAAGATTGGATCAGCTTATTGGGATCAGATTCTTGAGGTGGCAATAATTTCTGTAGTGAAGCGTGTCCTTAAGCGTCTGCACGAGTTGTTGGAACAGGTGATTATCTGAAGCTTTCATTTTTGATGTAAGGATTTTCCTTAGTTTGAGATATCTATTGCAAGCACTAGCAGAGTTAGTCGCCAGTAGCGAACTTACGGACTGGAAAGGAGCCAGATGAGTGCCCCCGCGCGAGCCTTATTGAAATAGTTTCATAAATCATTTATTACCTCCATATTTTGCCAGGGTAAATTTTTGGCTCTTCAAAGGCTAGATCATCCATGGCATCAAAGCTCTAGTATTTGATTTCTCATTGCAAGGATGGACCTTAGCATTTTAAGCAGGGCTTATTAGTTTAGATGTTTGCATTTTAGTAGTTCTACAACTAAATCGGCTACTTCATTTATGTTTTATAATTAAGCAAACTCACTGCCATGACCCCATATCCTCCGAAGTCAACCACTTCCGAAGTGGTGCTGACTCAAGTAATTAAAAATTACATCAATCATTGTAATGAAGTTCTCAGTAGATGAATCTAATGAATAAGAGCAACTGTGCATCTACATGCGCTGTGAAGTAAATTCCTAATGTCTGTGGTTTAATTGCATTATTTGACACACAGAATGGCCATGAATGATCTATTGAAATTTCATGCTGATCCTTCATGATACTGCATTGTGGAAAAATTGCTGCACAAGATATCAGTTTACTTGCCTCGTGCAGTGTTGCTCTCCTTTTCGATTTATGCAATTTTGGACTTGCTGAAATGCGTTTAAGATGGAAATGCCACTAGGCAGAAGGCTCATCTGTTTCCCCGTATATTGTTTGTATGCTCCTTATATCCGGCTGACAACAATGTTAAAGACATCTACCCTAGTCGCTGTTTTTGGCTTGTCCCGTAGACTCCATTTTTTCTTTTCCTAGGCATGTGGTGCATCTGAAAACTGGTCCCAATTGTCAGGCTCGTACTACCGGATCCTTAACATACTATTTTCCTCGATGCTTAAATTGCCTATTGAGGCTGTCCCATGTGATTTGCCAATCGTTTCACTTCCATTTGCACATCACATGCTCTATTTAGGAAATACTTATTTTTTATTCATGATTTATTCCTTCAGGACAATCCGCCAGCTCTTCAGGACATTTTGTCAGGGGAAATGATCCTCCCATTGTCAAGGGAGTTTCATAGACAAGGAAACAGGGAACGGACTCTTGTTTTGCTTCATCAAATGATTGATGATGCTCACTGTGGCAAGCGTCAGTTCCTTAGCGGTAAGCTTATTGTCTCATATTATTCCTTTTTTATTATTAATGCTGTTAATTAGTGAATACTACTTGGTGAAATTTAGTTGTATTAATGTCTCTTCTAATGTTTATCATCTGTTTAAATTTTAGGTAAGTTACATAATCTTGCAAGAGCTATTGCTGATGAAGAAACAGAAAGGGGTCAAACTAGAGTGAGCGTCCCATATTCTGACAGGAGAGAAATTCCAAGCTATGACAAGAATGGGGTTCTGGGGCTTGGGTTGAGAGCCTCAAAGCAGTCATCTTTGATATCACCAGCTGGTGAAAATAACGTAAAATCTGCAAGTTATGATATCAGAGATTCAGACCACAGTAGTTTGCTTATTCTAGGACTTGCTTATTAGTGAATTTAAGATTTTCTTATTAGTTGCCTCCCTTCTCATTTTTTGGATTTGCTGTACTATGTTTTCTATTTGCAGCAACCATTAGTCTTAACTTATTGTTCAAAATAAGATTTAAAGCATGTTCAGGAAGTGTTTATAAATGGTTTATTTTATGAATAAATAGAAACAAGTAGTTGATAAGTGGGTAGTACTTGTGGGTCCTTCGAAATTTGTGGATATAAGTGGTTGGATGTGAAACTTTTTATAAACATGAGCCAAACATTGGCATAAATTATATTTGTGTGATCTTCTCCAACAACTTTAGCTTTTAGATCGAGTGCTTCAACCGTGTATCACAAGCATACGAAGGTCCTTGGTTCATGTCACCCGTTATGAAATTGTGCATGTGTCACGATTTGATGGAAAAAATGAACCTAAACAATATGTGGAGGTTTGTTGAAAATAAGATTTAAATGAATACATGTGACTATCTCTAACAACTTAAACTTTTAGATTAAGTAGTTCAACACCTATTCACACCCAGCTGGCCTAATAATATCTATCAATTTATTTTATTCACTAATTACTTTCACTCTTGGCATTCCCTTGGACTCCCAGATACACCTCCCAGCCAAGCTGTCCTAAGAACTTTTGCATGTACTTGCATTCTATGTTGAACACAAAATGATGATTTTTTATTGCAAGGCTAAAAGCGTTAACTACCTCCTTTTTTGCTTCTTCCCTTTTCTTATATTTCTTATGCAAGCCGTGATCTTCATCTGATGCAGATATTCATAGTGAATATTATCATCTCACTACTACACATGGATAACCTCCGTCTTGATTTGACATCACATGATCCATTGAGGAGTTCTTCTGAATCTTTTGATATTCCCAGTGGAGAACAAGCTGATTCCACAACACATGTAGGGGGAAATAAGATGGTTGTCTCCCTTCTTGGACAAGTACTTACTATTCTGCGACAGCAACTACCCTTATCACTAGCTGATCTGGACAATTCATTGGATGATCATATATCTGGTGGTGGAAAACAAGCCTTAGAATGGGCAATCTTGAATGCAAAACAATTCATTGAAGATTGGGAATGGCGTTTGTCAATTTTGCAACGCCTTCCACCGTTATCTGAACGTCAGTGGAGGTGGAAGGAAGCTCTGACAGTGTTGCGTGCAGCCCCATCTAAGCTACTCAATCTGTGAGTTTTTCCACTTTCTGTTTTCCTTTGTACACTGAGAATGTTCTTTTACTTTATCCTACTCTTATCAGATGTAGGTCCATGTCTTGTTTATAAAGATCATATGCTGTTTTTGACGAGTACGAGAAATACTTATGTAATGTATGTTTGATGAGTGATTACTTAACTGTCTAAGGTCACTAGTTTTGATATTTGTCATGCAGTTGCATGCAAAGGGCGAAGTATGACCTAGGAGAGGAGGCTATTCATCGTTTCTCCTTACCTCCAGAAGACAAAGCCACCCTCGAATTGGCTGAATGGGTGGATGGTGCCTTCAAAAAAGCATCTGTATGATCCTAAATAACGACTATAAATGTCCTTCAAGATCAGATAACTTTTCTGGGAATACTCAGTGATCATTTGTCATAAGTTTCTCACTCTATGTTTTTAATTTCGTGACAAATATTGGTGGGCATAATGCATCAATTGGCATGTGTAGAATGACTTGTGCTGATACCTCAACTGATTTCCCTGTTTCTTTCTACCACATTCTTTGTTTCGAAATGAATATCTTGATTAAACTTTGGTAAATGGGTAACCATTCAATTCTGTTTCTCATTAGATGTCAAAGATTGTGAATTGGGATGGCTTATATAAAGGTAGGAGATACCAGAATACTCTAAATAAAATATACTTGGGTACGGGTTTCAGGTGGAGGATGCAGTATCTCGAGCTGTTGATGGTACTTTTGCTGTCCATGAATTGGATTTCTTGTCCTTGCGCTCTCAGTTGGGTCATTTGGCAGCTGTAAGTGTTTCTTCTTTGTTCTTTGCCATCTAAAGTTGATGCAGTGGTGAAGTTTCTCAAATTTTGTGGATGTAGATTGACATCTTTGTTGTCCATTCCAGATTCTCCTATGCATTGATGTAGCTGCAGCATCTGCTAAGCTACCAAACATGTCTTTGAAGCTTCTAAATCAGGTAATTTAGACAACAATTCTTATTGGTGTCTGCGATCCCTACATAAGAATTGTTATTCAAGCATCATATTTTTGGATGTTATTTTCTTATATATTGTAGTTACCTTCTTTTCATATCATTGAAATACGTTATATGGTATTGATATCTTGTATTTTTTCTTGTGCATGGTTGAATTTGTTTCTCTGTCAACATGGCTGCCATTTCACTTACAGGAAAACATAAAAAGGACTGAATCCCTAAAATTCAGCCACATTGTATGGGGGCCATTTTTGAATTCTTGGCATCTTTTATTTTTAATTGATCATAATAAATAAATTTGTGGTGTTTTGTGCCCCCCTGAAGTTATTTGTTACATTATTTCTCTATCTGTGATGTGTGTACTTCAGAGGGATTGTCTCCTTCATAAGGGCTGGCTCCCTTAGCTGTTGATGCTATCCATTCAAAATACAGAAGCAATTCTGATAAGAAAATATAAAGAAGTTTTCTTGAATGATGAATCTTTTGTTCTTTCTTTTAAAGAGCCCGTGTCCAAGAGTTGAAAGGAGCATTGGATGAATTACTTAGGCTAGTTGGAAGTGGGCCTGAAATGGGCCCCATGAAATTGGCTCACTGTCACAAGTGTGGGGTTGGGTTGGATGAGGATCCAACCGGTGAAATACACGTACCGGGATTGACTCATAAGGAGCTATTATCAATTACAGAACATGAAAAGCAGGGAGGAGTTGAACATTGTGAGTCTCAGGAGATGATGGAAGCGGGATACTACAACGACGACGACGGGGTTGACTTAGTGGGGTTCAACCGGAATGAAGTAGACACGGGAATTGCAGTAGAACGAGAGGTAGAATCACTGTCTAAGGAAGGGGAGTCGAATATGGAGAACGTGGAGACGATGACAATGGGCGTTGTGAAAGAAAACGAAGCGACATATTCGACATCAAGGATTATGAACACTTATAATAGGAGGACAAAAGAAAATGACATGGGGACCGAAAGAGCTTTGGTGTTGTGGGTAGATGGTACCAAGAAGGGAGAAAGCGACAGTGACGTTATACAAGTGGTTGAAGAGAAAGAACGGTCCTTTGATCATCTGGAGGGTTATCACGGAGAAGAAACTTCGGAAGCTGATGTGTTTGAATTTGTACACCCACCTTCGAGCTAGGTTCTACAAAAAATTCAGGAATTCAGTAAGTTGGTCGGCGTGTCCTGTAATGGATATGAAAGTAGACTGTTACAATTATTCGAGGAGCTGGAGGCTAATAGGGGACAAGGCATCAGTACACATGGAGGTAAATTAAGACGAAATGGTGATCGCAAACTTAAGAGGCTCGAATGGTTAGTAAATTATGCTGGTAAGGGTGGCAAGTCCAAGAAAGGAACAATGGGAAGGGTTGACAGAGTATTAAAATGATGTCAAAACTCATTAGCTGGAGTGCACGGGGGCTCAATGAGGTTCGTAAAAGGCTTGGTGTTCGACATCTGCTAAAGGGATGGGGGCAAATCTTGTATACTTACAAGAAACTAAGATGGAGTTTATCTCGAGGGCGGTGATTAGTAGCTTATGGGGGGAAAACATGTAGGGTATCAGTTTTTGGGGTCATCAGGGGTATCAGGAGGCGTGTTGGTAATGTGGGACACTAGAGTGCTTGAGATGGAGGAGGTGAGTATAGGAGTGTTCTCTATATTGATTTCTTTTAAAAATTGTGAGGATGGATTTCGGTAAATGTTCACAGGAGTTTATGGGCCTAATTATGATGACAGTAGAGAGGGCTCGTGGGGATGAACTTGCTGAAATGATGGCTTGGTAGAATCTCCCAACATGTATTGGGGTGATTTCAATGTGATTCGATTTCCTTCGGAGAGGTCGAGTGGTGGGAGACTAACTAGGGCAATGGAGTTCTCAGATTTTATTAGGGAGAATTTGTTGGTGGATTTACCTATGATTGGGGGAGATTTTACCTGGTCATCTAATTGAGATCGACCTGTCTTGTCTCATATAGATAGATTCTTGATTTGTGGGGAGTGGGAGTCCAAATACTCAGATGTCACACAGACAAGATTGGGGAGGGTATACTCGGATCATTTTCCTATTATGTTGTCTGGGAATAGGAGGGGTAATGGAAGAAGGCCTTTTAGGTTTGAGAAGATGTGCTTGAAAGTTGAAGGTTTTAGGGAGCGAGTACAGACTTGGTGGACTTCCTATGAAGTCAGCGGGTCTCCTAGTTTTTTATTGGATCAAAAGCTAAAGGCGTTGAAAGGGGACTTAAAGAAATGGAACGAGGAAGTTATGGCAATGTTAATTGCAGGAAAAATCAGTGTCTATTAGAGAGAGGAGTTGGATAGGCGGGAGGAGAGTCAAGGGTTGGTTGGGGAGGAGAAGGGGAGATGTAGAGTATTAAAGGAAGAGATGGAGAGGTTGGTGGAGATGGAGGAGATTGCTTAGTGACAGAAGTCTAGGGTTACATGGTTGAAAGAGGGGGATAAATGCACTACGTTTTTCCACAGGGTCGCCAATTCTAATAGGCGGAACAATTTCATCACAGTTTTGGAGGTGGACGGGGTTACTTATAAGGAACCACAGGAAATTGGAAGCCAACTGGTGAATTTCTATCATAACCTCTATCGAGAGTAATTTGAATGGAGGCCAGAATTGGAGGGATTGCACTTTTCTACTATTACGGAGGATGATGCCAGTTGGATGGAGAGACCATTTGGGGAGGATGATATTAAGGAGATAGTGTTCAGCATGAACGATGATAAGGTTCCGGGATCAGACGGTTTCTCGTTCTCATTCTATAAGGCGTGCTAGGATGTGGTGCTACCGGACATTGTGGATATTCTATCTTATTTGTTTGAACGTGGCAGATTCCAGAGAAGTTCTAACGCTACATTTATTGTGCCCATTCCTAAGAAATTGGGAATGATTGATATTAAAGACTTTCGCCCTATTAGCCTTGTCAGTGGGGTATATAAGATTATAGTGAAAGTCTTTGACAGATTAAAGGAAGTGCTGGGGAAAGTAGTGTTCAAGTTTCATAATGCATTTGTAAAAGGGCGTCAAATTTTGGACTCTATGCTTATAGCGAATTAATACATAGATTCAAGAATGCGTCTAAGGGTCCCAGGGATGTTATGTAAGCTAGATATTCAGAAGTCTTATGATCATGTAAGCTAGGGATTCCTGTTGTATATGCTTAGGCATTGTGGCTTTAGGGATAAGTGGTGTAAATGGATTTAATTCTATATTTCTATTGTTTCATTCTCAGTTTTGGTCAACGGAACACTTGATGGTTATTTCCGGAGTAGTAAAGGCTTGAGACAAGGGGATCCATTGTCTCCATTATTATTTGTCATTGTTATGGAGGCTTTCAGTAGGATGATTGAAAGAGCTGTGGGAGCGGGTTTGATAAGGGGTTTTATGGTTGATCAAGTGCAAGTGTCCCATTTGTTATTTGCAAATGACACGTTGATTTTATGCGATGCAGTTGTTGAACAATTCAGGAACTTGAGCCGTCTGGGTGTCTAGTTTGAAGATCAATTTGGGGAAGTTTGAGACTATTCCAGTAGGGGAGGTCGATAACGTGGAGTTGGCTGATATATTGGGTTGTAAAGTTGCGCAGCTGTTGATATCATATTTAGGGCTCCCGTTAGGGGCACGATTTAAAAGTACCCATATCTGGAATGATATTGTGGAAAGGATGGAGAGAAGGTTAGTAGGTTAGAAGCGTATGTACCTTTCTAAGGGAGGTAGACTTATTCTCATTAAATCCACTCTCTCCAATCTCCCTACTTACTTTTTGTCATTGTTCCCCATTTCGGTTGCAATGGCAAAGAGATTAGAGAGATTTCAAAGAGAATTTCTGTGGGCAGAATTGGGGGAGGAGAGGAGACTCCATTTGGTCAATTGAGGTATTGTCCGTTTGCCAGTGAGGATGGGGGTCTTGGAGTGAGGAGCCTTGTGTTGTTTAGTAAAGCCTTATTAGGCAAATGGTTGTGGCGATTTAGAGTGGAGAGGGAGAGCTTCTAGAGAGAAATCATTGGGGCGAAATATGGTTTGACAGAGGGGGGATGGTGAACGGTTGAGGATCGTGGTTCTTATGGGGTGAGTTTATGGAGGTATATCCAACGGGGATGGAGTGATTTTCTGGACAAACTGAAGTTTGTGGTCGGAAATGGTAATGAGATTAGATTTTGGGATGATTGTTGGTGTAGAGATCAACTGCTGAAGGAAGGATTTCCTTCCTTGCACCGCATTGCTCAGTACCCTTCTGCTATGGCGAGTGATCTTTTAGTCATTCATAATGGGAGCTATAGTTGGAATATTACTTTTGGGAGGGGTGTACAGGATTGAGAATCGGATGATTATTTGTTGTTTATGACCTTTCTACATGAGCCACAAATTCGGGCAGGAGAGAGTGATTGTAGCAGGTGGAGGATAGCACGAGATGGCATTTTCTCAGTTCGCTCTTACTTTAGTTCTCTCTTGGAATATGTGAATAATTCATTCCTCTGGAAGTTGGTGTGACAATGTAAATTGCCTCCTCGAGTGGCATTCTTATTGTAGACAGTTGTAAGGGGACAGGTTTCAACGGTGGATAATCTTCGACATAAAGGTTTTTACGTAACCGAGTGGTGTTATATGTGCAAGAAGGATGGGGAGACGATCAATCATTTGTTCATTCATTGTGATGGTGTTTGTTGGATTTGGAATGGTATACTTGGTTCTCAATTTATGGATTGGGTGATGCCTTGTCGTATAGAGGACGTCCTACGGGCATGGACGAGAAAACTTCGTGATAAGAATAGCAAACTAGCATGGCACCTTTTCTTGGGTTACATTGTATGGTGTGTGTGGAGAGAAAGGAACAACCGCTGCTTTGAAGACCAAACAAAGACAACAGAGCAAATAAGAGAAACATTACCTACAAAAAAAAAAAAAAAAAAAAAAAAAGAGAGAGAGTATTTAGAGAGCATACTTTGTAATTTCTAAGTGTATATATGCTCAAATGATTTCATGTGACATAATGAAATCAGAGAGTTTATTGGTTTATATGTATATGTGTATGTGTATATACACACACACACACACATACATATACTTCACTCGTTCTGTGTTAAACATGTTAAATATGACTTGGAGCTTTTTAACTTAATGTGGATATTTTATGCTTGATAATGAAAAAAGGAGTCCTGCAAGGAACCTGATATGGGAACTGTCTTTTGAATCTGAGCAACATATGCCAAAGGCTAATTAGACAAAGTAGTTTTGAACTCAAAAAGTACAAATGCATTCTCCCCCGTCACGATGATATTCTAATGATAGTAAAGTTCTAAATGATGTATAGCAAGGAAACAAGATCCTTGAGTATTCGGTTAATTGAATAGAACTTTAAGGAGACGTCTGCTATATGGTACTGGCTTTTTTATTTTTATTTTTAAGAAGTACCAAAGTTTGTATGTAGATAACACCCCGGGGATGTTCCTTTGTTGTTCTGAATGCAAGTTCTTCCTTCAGCTTTTCTTCTGGTAGCATTTACACCATCTTTTGTTGGTTGCCTGGCGAACTTTTTTAAGGGTTATAGGAGTACTTTTGGAAATTTGCACATGTATTAGGTCACCCTAATACTTTCCTAGTATATAAAAGGAATTAAGGCGAGCCTCCGTTCCACGTGTCATAATACAGAGAGAAACAATGACAGACATAAATCCAAAGCATATTGTAATTCTCTATTTCGATATGGTGCAATTCTGCAGTGGCACCGAGTGATGTTGCACTCGCATCGAGAGTGAGGCACATTAAATTGCGTGTTTTTCTTGCTTTCGTTTTTACCTATTTCACCTTATTAATTGCTCATGGTTTATGGGTTATTCATTAATCCATAACATTTTTTATTCCATCATTTCTGATTTGACATGAAAAAAGGGTTTGAAAAGTAGATTTGAATTCTGACTGCTTGCTCAATTTTGACGTGTAGGCTCAAGGTATGCTTTCTGAGATCTATCCTGGTAGTTCTCCTAAGATTGGATCAGCTTATTGGGATCAGATTCTTGAGGTGGCAATAATTTCTGTAGTGAAGCGTGTCCTTAAGCGTCTGCACGAATTGTTGGAACAGGTGATTATCTGAAGCTTTCATTTTTGATGTAAGGATTTTCCTTAGTTTGAGATATCTATTGCAAGCACTAGCAGAGTTAGTCGCCAGTAGCGAACTTACGGACTGGAAAGGAGCCAGATGAGTGCCCCCGCACGAGCCTTATTGAAATAGTTTCATAAATCATTTATTACCTCCATATTTTGCCAGGGTAAATTTTTGGCTCTTCAAAGGCTAGATCATCCATGGCATCAAAGCTCTAGTATTTGATTTCTCATTGCAAGGATGGACCTTAGCATTTTAAGCAGGGCTTATTAGTTTAGATGTTTGCATTTTAGTAGTTCTACAACTAAATCGGCTACTTCATTTATGTTTTATAATTAAGCAAACTCACTGCCATGACCCCATATCCTCCGAAGTCAACCACTTCCGAAGTGGTGCTGACTCAAGTAATTAAAAATTACATCAATCATTGTAATGAAGTTCTCAGTAGATGAATCTAATGAATAAGAGCAACTGTGCATCTACATGCGCTGTGAAGTAAATTCCTAATGTCTGTGGTTTAATTGCATTATTTGACACACAGAATGGCCATGAATGATCTATTGAAATTTCATGCTGATCCTTCATGATACTGCATTGTGGAAAAATTGCTGCACAAGATATCAGTTTACTTGCCTCGTGCAGTGTTGCTCTCCTTTTCGATTTATGCAATTTTGGACTTGCTGAAATGCGTTTAAGATGGAAATGCCACTAGGCAGAAGGCTCATCTGTTTCCCCGTATATTGTTTGTATGCTCCTTATATCCGGCTAACAACAATGTTAAAGACATCTACCCTAGTCGCTGTTTTTGGCTTGTCCTGTAGACTCCATTTTTTCTTTTCCTAGGCATGTGGTGCATCTGAAAACTGGTCCCAATTGTCAGGCTCGTACTACCGGATCCTTAACATACTATTTTCCTCGATGCTTAAATTGCCTATTGAGGCTGTCCCATGTGATTTGCCAATCGTTTCACTTCCATTTGCACATCACATGCTCTATTTAGGAAATACTTATTTTTTATTCATGATTTATTCCTTCAGGACAATCCGCCAGCTCTTCAGGACATTTTGTCAGGGGAAATGATCCTCCCATTGTCAAGGGAGTTTCATAGACAAGGAAACAGGGAACGGACTCTTGTTTTGCTTCATCAAATGATTGATGATGCTCACTGTGGCAAGCGTCAGTTCCTTAGCGGTAAGCTTATTGTCTCATATTATTCCTTTTTTATTATTAATGCTGTTAATTAGTGAATACTACTTGGTGAAATTTAGTTGTATTAATGTCTCTTCTAATGTTTATCATCTGTTTAAATTTTAGGTAAGTTACATAATCTTGCAAGAGCTATTGCTGATGAAGAAACAGAAAGGGGTCAAACTAGAGTGAGCGTCCCATATTCTGACAGGAGAGAAATTCCAAGCTATGACAAGAATGGGGTTCTGGGGCTTGGGTTGAGAGCCTCAAAGCAGTCATCTTTGATATCACCAGCTGGTGAAAATAACGTAAAATCTGCAAGTTATGATATCAGAGATTCAGAAATGAGATTGTTTGGCCCCTTCACTTCCAAAATCACAACATACCTTTCACAATTCATTCTTCATATTGCTGCAATAGGCGACATTGTTGATGGGACAGATACAACTCATGATTTCAACTATTTTTCACTTGTGTACGAGTGGCCCAAAGATGTACCATTTCTTTCTTGTCCTTTTCTTCTTTGTTCGTTCCTTTATCATTTTCGGCAGCTATGTTTTATTTATACTTAAGAAAGAACTGTTAATATTCTGTCAATCATGAAATTTCTTGGTTGGTATTAGTAGTGGCTTTGGACGTAAATTTTTGTTCGGTTAGTTTGCATCTAATTACATGGTCAATATCAATGGTTAATTAGACCTCTATGATCCTAGAGTTCCTATTGGTTGCAGTTTAAACTTTAAATAATTGGTAGAACATTATGTCAATATTTTTATTTGTTGTGCTGAAAAATAGAGTTAAAATAGAAGAGAAGACTTGTACCATGACCAATTTTACTAATTGAGCTAACATAACCAAGGTTCTACTCTTGAATTGAGACCAAATAGGCAAGACAGTGCCCACTTTCCCACAAACCCTGTAACCAAATTCATTTTGTAACCCTGATTCTTTCTCAGATTATCTCCTCACGAAAATCTGTGTAACGTGCGTTGGGGAAGATGGGGAAATTTCTAGTCAGGCTATAGGACCAGAGGGGGGTTGTTGGGTGATCTGAGATGACATTTACATTCTGCTTATTACGAAGTGCATTAATTGCTACCTGGTCCATCATTTCTTATACTGTTATTCATTTTTTTGCAGCTTTTGACTCGTTTGGTATTTGAACGAGGCAGTACTGATGCTGCTGGAAAGGTAGCAGAAATTATGAGTGCAGACTTTGTTCATGAAGTAATTTCTTCATGTGTACCTCCAGTTTACCCTCCAAGATATGGTCGTGGTTGGGCTTGCATTCCAGTAATTCCTACACTCCCTCACAGTTATCCTGAAAGTAAAGTTTTCTCACCTTCTAGAGAAGCTAAACCGAAGATTTACTTCCGTTCTTCTGCCACTCCTGGAGTTCCTTTGTATCCTTTGAAGTTAGATATAATAAAGCATCTCGTCAAGTTATCTGCAGTCAGGGCCATCCTAGCATGTGTATTTGGAAGTACAATATTGTATTGTGGTAGTGATCCTGCTATATCCAGTTCCTTAAATGATCGCTCACAGCTACCGCCCGATATTGATAGATTTTTCTACGAGTATGCTCTCGATCAGTCCGAGAGGTTTGTTTCCACCAAATGATATCTCCACATATTGAACGTTGTGTTGAACTGTAATTTATGTGATCCTTTCCATTTGGCAAGCAGATTCCCTACCTTGAATCGGTGGATACAAATGCAGACTAACCTTCATCGAGTGTCCGAGTTTGCTGTAATGTCTGAAAACAGAGTAGATGAAAGCAAAGATAATTCTGAAGCCAAAACTGCTATGAAACGTTTTCGTGATGATGATAGTGATACTGAATCAGAAGTTGATGATGTGGCTGTCAGTCATAGCATTTCAACCCCACTTCATGAGCTTAAGGATCAAGGCAGTGTGGCTCCTGACCCTTGGCTTGAATCTCCAAAATCTGAAATTGGAGAACATGATAAAACAATTTTCCTTGCTTTTGATTGGGAGAGTGAAGGACCCTATGAAAAAGCTGTAGTAAGGTAATTCCTTTCCTCCTTTTTGCACTTATTCCTTTATCGTCAAGAACTCTCCCTCCCTGTCTCCCCCTCCCCCATCCCCTCTTTCTAATTCAAATTTCTATAGCCTGTGGAAGTCAAGAAATTTTATGGTTTAAGTGTGTTGCGTTTATAACTGAACGAGTTAAAACTGATTTTATGACAAATTACTCCAGTGAGCAAAGTTTTAATTTGCTCAATCTGTTTAGGGAAGGAAAATGTATTCTCAGTTTTGGGCCATAGAGACCAAATTCTTTTTAACTTTGAACTTTTCATTGCCATTGAGAAAATCCTATTTTTAGGTTGCATTTTTCCTTTCCCTCTTTCTTTCAACTTCTCCCTTTGTGGCTCTCACCCTGGACATTTATGAGCTGCAGATAAATAATTTAAAGTGTGAATAAATAATTGACAGATGACTGGCAAGCAAGAAAGCTAACTTCTACTTGTTATCTAATGATTTGCTGGTGCAGATTGATTGATGAAGGAAAATTAATGGATGCTCTGGCTCTGTCTGATCGCTTCCTGCACAATGGAGCCTCAGACCAATTGCTTCAGCTGCTTATTATAAGTGAGGAAGAAAGTGCCTTCTCTGGACGACAAGGCTATTCTGACTTTCCTATCTGGAGCAATAGTTGGCAGTATTGTCTACGTTTGAGGGATAAACAGCTCGCAGCTAGACTCACCCTCAAGTATGTCTACTGACTCACTTTCATGTTTCATCTGACGAATCCTTTCAGTTATTTATCTGAATTTAATATGCATATGTATGAATTATTTTGCTTTATAATTTGTAATAGTACACTTCTTTTAGAAGAGGAGTTCTTTGGTTAACTGTTAATCCTCTATTCTTTTTCCTCTTCCCCTCGTAAAACAAATACATGTCGTGTTGTCATTGTCTTTTTTACATTAATCAGTATTCTTGTAAGCCATTCTCTGTTATCTTTGATAAGAAACAATGTTTTATTTATCAAAGGACTATCTATACAACACTTGAAGGATAGGATATGTAAACTAAATATTGAGAAAAAATTGCTTTCCAATTGGCAACAATTATTGAAAATGGAAGACCCTTAAATTCCTCAGTTGTAGAGGCCCATAATGATGTCAGAGAGTTTGCGATTCAATACTTGGAAGTTTCTTTTGGTTGATATCACGAAAGGATGTTGATTCTATGAATTTCTGCATCACACTACCTTTCTTTCTCAATAGTCCAATTGTCTTTTCAAGTAACAGGATGGAAGATGGGCTTGACAAATACATCTAGACAAAAAGTTTGTTCTACACATCTGACCCCTTTTTTTGCAACCCTGCCAACTATTAGAGATTTAACTTTTAAAGACAGAGAATACCTCCCCTCCCAAAGGAGCTCCTAAGTATTTCAAAGGGGAACCCCTAATACACTGTTTGCCATATTAATTTTAAGACTTGCTAGAGAAGTGAAAATTTTCAGATTTCTAAAATCTCACGGTGAAAATTCTATATTTTTTCTTCTAAAAACTGTAAATGACGCTGTGACTCTTTTTCTCCCCTTCATATCCTTCTAGCAAAGGTATTTCTCTTGCTCTTTCCATCAACCTATCTTAAACATTTTACCACTAAAAATATGCCTGTAAGATTTTGATTCTCTTTCATTTTCCTTGTGTTCTATATCGTCTTATAAATGTTGAATATATCTATTTCAGATACTTGCATAGATGGGAGCTACAAGCAGCTTTGGATGTTCTTACCATGTGTAGTTGTCATTTGTCTGATGGTGACCCGCTTAAAATTGAGGTACTGAAATGATATATTACATGCTATAGAATTTCGAACCTTTAATACTTTTCATGAAGAACTTCGAACTTTAAATAACACTGGGAATGTTTTTTTCAAGGAAGGATTATAACAAGCTGACCCTTGTCTGTGTGGCCTACTTTTGGTAGGTTGTTGAAAGGAGACTAGCTCTCTTGAGATACAAACGTGTATTGTGTGCAAATGATCACTACAACAGCTGGCAAGAGGTGGAACTTTACTTTTAATATCACACATGAGATGAAAAAGAGTTGTTTAGCATATAATTTTTTCTTTCTTCTTTTGGAGTTCTGTTATATGTCATATCCAGGTCCGCCTAATCGTTTTCTGGTTCCAATTATTCTATCCATCTTGTCAGGTTGAGACAGATTGTAAGGAAGATCCTGAAGGCCTTGCACTTAGATTGGCTGAGAAAGGAGCTGTATCTGCTGCTCTAGAAGTGGCTGAAAGCGCTGGACTTTCTATTGAATTGCGGAGAGAACTGCAAGGTCGTCAACTTGTCAAGCTTCTCACTGCAGATCCTGTAAATGGTGGAGGTCCTGCAGAAGCTTCACGTTTTTTGTCTTCTTTACGCGACTCTGATGATGCTTTGTCCGTGGCAATGAGTGCAATGCAACTTTTACCCAACCTTCGATCAAAGCAACTTCTTGTAAGTACCTAGAAGTTCACAGCTGGTTCCTTCTCCTTTTCTCTCGAGGTCACAGCTGAAAATTGATGACCATGAGTTTAACCCATTCGTATTAAAGTAAAACTGTGTTAATTTTCGATGAAGGTGCATTTCTTCCTTAAGAGAAAAGACAGTAATCTGTCAGAGGTTGATGTCTCTCGGCTTAACTCATGGGCTTTAGGCCTTCGGGTATTGGCAGCACTGCCATTACCATGGCAGCAAAGATGCTCTTCCCTACATGAGCATCCTCTTTTGGTTCTAGAGGTCTTGCTGATGAGAAAACAGCTGCAATCTGCTTCTCTGGTACATTTATTTGTTTAGTTAATCTTTATAAATTTGATTTTCTGTTGGCTTGTGTCACGATACATATGGTAATATAACCTTGCAGATTCTTAAAGAGTTTCCTTCGTTGAGAGAGAACAACATGATACTTGCATATGCTGCCAAAGCTATTGCTATTAGCATCAGTTCTCCCGCCAGGGATTCAAGGATATCATTTTCAGGTCCTAGAGCAAAGCAGAAAATGAAGCCTAGCACACCTACTCGGTCATCCTTTACTAGCAGTCTAAGTAACCTGCAAAAAGAGGCTCGCAGAGCATTTTCTTGGACAGCTCGTAACGCAGAAGATAAGAATGCCCCCAAGGACAGTCATAGGAAGAGAAAGATCTCTGGATTAACACAATCTGACAAAGCTGCTTGGGAGGCAATGGCTGGTATTCAAGAAGACCGTGTGTCATTATTCACTGCAGATGGGCAAGAACGGCTTCCTTCTGTTTCAATTTCTGCAGAGTGGATGCTCACAGGTGATCCAAAGAAGGATGAAGTTGTTCGTTCCTCTCACCGATATGAAAGTGCCCCAGACATCATTCTCTTCAAGGTACAGGAGCATCTTTCACAGTGATTTGCATCACTATTGAGAATTTTGTGATCTACACTTTCTAAAAAAAATTAGCCTTTTAACATTTGTTTATCAACTGCCTATGTTTTACGAGGATCAACATGTTCCCTTATTTGAATGTTTTGAAACAATTCCCCCTTTCGCCTTTCTCAGAAACTACAGTCCCACCATAACTGAACCCCCCTAACACTACTGAGCCCACCACTAACAGATGTACAGCGGTTTTCCTCCTTCATAACTGAACCCCCCCCCCCCCCCCCCCCCCCCCCCAACACTACTGAGCCCACCACTAACAGATGTACAGCGGTTTTCCTCCTTCATAACTGAACCCCCCCCCCCTCCTTTCACCAAATTTGCCCCATTACTCCACAGATCCTGTCTTGAATCTCTATTCCCCTTTCTATATGCAGCCTTCAATGGTTTAACTTTTGGATATTGATCGAAAGTGGTAATGGTGGTTAAGCTTTAAGTGAAGTTACTTTGTTTGGAAGAATTCTGTGTTGGTGCCCAATTTTTTTTTTTTTTTTTAAAGGTGGAGGTGTAATGTTGGAGGTATTGGGGTTGGCCCATGATGATGGTGAGTAGCACTGTATTGGTATTAATGATGGCAGGGTGTTTTTTGGTTATTTTGATTTTAGGAGGTTGTATAGTTGAGGTTATGGCAGCAGTGATGGTGGTTGGACTGTAACTGTAGTGTCCGTTGACGATGATCGTAGTAAAGGTGATAATGTAGTTTTTTGGTTGTTCAGATGTTGTTTTAGGTTTGTGAATGATTCGACAGATGTTGGCCTATTATGGTGGAGGTAAAGGTTGGTGTGGTTGCCTGGACAAAAGCTTAACCCACCCATAAAAACGATTCCTATCTGTGCTACTGGACTGAACATTTTATTTAAGTTTTAGTTAATTTTCTGAAAAGACAAAGAAATTAAAAAATCCCACATGGGTCACAGGCCCAGAAAGGCTTGCCTCTCCAGGCTGGCCTGGCCACGGCACTTTCTGGACCCTATCTGTTTATTTTCTAATGAAAATAAATTGATCATAGTATAGTATTTGAAGTGGAGTTCGTCGGAGACTCTCCATTCGGGATTCTCCCCGCTGAAAACGGGCATCTTGAGTTTCCTCACCCTTCACCAGCTGTCTCCTGCCTCTCCTGTTCCATCGTCATTGTTGCTCTATCTTTACTGGTTGGTCCTGATTCTTCTGGCCATTTTTCTCGGTCCTAGGTACGTTGGTCGCCTATTGATCCTTGGTGTATGTTAGGTGGTAACAACCCTCCAGTTATACTCCCCGACCCCCCTCCTTCGAAGTTTTCGTTCAATCCTGACTTTGTATTAGAGAGTGCCACCACAGTTTTCCTTGTTTATTCCACATTGATTGTAGCATTTTGGCTACATTCTGGGCCGGCTCAAATGATCTCTCCAAACCTGGAAGTTGCTGCAGCTCTAATTTCACTTCTTCCATCTCCTTCTCCATTGATTCTACTCTGCCTTAATTTTTTATTTTTTTGAGCCTCTGATACCAATTTGATAAGATTCAACTGAAAGAAAAGGAGAACAAAGATTTGTTGAAAGTTGGAATGAAAAGAACTGATAGACCACTCTCTCACTTCGTTTTTGCCTTCCTATGGCTACTCTTCTACGTTTGTTTATAGCTTAGCTTTAACAAACTCTCCTAACAAATTTCCCCTCTTAACAGATTTTAGTTTTCTTTCCTGCCAGCTGGCAGTCCATCCTTCTTTGGTCTTCTAGAATAAGTTAATTGAATGGGGGTCTATCAGAATTCAGAACTATTATCTGTTTTTCAATTTATCCCCTTTTTGACAGCCATTTTTTGTGTACAATGAGTTTTTGAATAGTAAAAAGTTGGAGAATGTGTGGTTACAAAGTGGGAAAAAGTTTTGGGTTTACGTGAAGAATATTTTATTACGAGATTGTGTGGTTGAAAATGAGTATAAGAAAAAGAGAGTTTTGAAAGAATGTTTGTCAAATAGGGGCTTTAGTGGTCTGGAGACTGGAATTTATCAAGGTCAAGAAGCTGAATTGGGTGGGGAGGGTTTGATGTATGAAGCTATGAATTTAATGAATACTTCAAGTATGCTACTTTCTCTCTCTCCACGCACGTGTTGGCACGATGGATGTCCAATCCCTAAATTACATTCTGATTCTGTCCATATTGAACAATTTATTGAAACATTAGGTAGTTATATCATTCTTTATGCAGAAATTTGGGTGTTCAGAACACTTGCATGTGGTGTGGCATCAGGTTGGAAACATAGCTGTTGAGATAGATCTAGCTATGACTTTTGATTTAACTCCTCCGCATTATTGCTTGTTGGGTTTATGACACGCTCCTACTCGTTAGCACTAACTGCACTGTTGGAAACAAAGCTTTTGAGATAGATAATAGGTGTAGCTTTTCATCTAACTGCACTGTGGACTTAAGTGCACTGCTACATTGCTTGTCAGAAGTGCAATAGGACTTCTTATTTCATGTCTATTGCAAGCCACTTGTAAAACACAATTACTCTGTATTCTGTTTTAACTCCTGTGGGGGAACAATTTTAGTATTTTACAGAGACTTGTTGGCAGTTAGCATCGGCAAACATGAGCCTCAAAGCCTCCTGCGAATCCAAAAAATGAGGGAAAAGGAATCTATGACCAAGCCATTACAATGGCACAACCAGATTTAACAAGATGTAACGTATACACGAAGTTCTGTACTTAATTTCTTGTTTAGGGAGATACAGTTGCAAAAATAAATACTCGACTTTGATTGGAATATATCAGGGGTTCTAGCTACATGCAATTTGAGTCAAATTTTGCAGTTAATACCTTTTATATGCGCTCTCCTAGCTGGTATAAACATTGATAAGCCTACTTAACCTATTTGTATCTTTTGTTCTAAGGCACTGCTTTCACTATGTTCGGATGAAAGTGTATCTGGCAAAGGTGCTCTGGACTTGTGCATTAGTCAGATGAAAAATGTGTTAAGCTCCCAGCAATTACATGAAAATGCATCCATGGAAACAGTTGGCCGAGCATATCATGCAACGGAAACATTTGTGCAGGTATCCATTTTGGTACAGTTTTGAAACTAAAGCACTGAACGTACATAAATTAATACATCAATTTATCTGCACCTTGCAGGGTCTGCTTTTTGCTAAATCCCAGCTTAGAAAACTTTCTGGAAATAGTGATTTGTCTAGTAATTCTGAAAAAGGTAGGGACGCTGATGATGCATCCTCTGATGCTGGTAGCTCTAGCTTGGGTAGTCAATCAACCGACGAATTATCTGAAGCACTGTCACAGGTTGACATTTGGCTAGGACGTGCTGAATTGCTGCAAAGCCTTCTGGGATCTGGGATAGCTGCCTCACTTGATGACATTGCCGATAAAGGGTCATCTGAACATCTCAGAGATCGCTTGATCCAAGAGGAACGATACAGCATGGCGGTATATACATGCAAGAAGTGTAAGGTATATATAAAATGGAACAACTGTCAAACTTGGTTGCTTCAATGTATCCAATATCGAAGATTTATTTTTCAAACTTCCTTCAGATTGAGGTTTTCCCAGTGTGGAATTCATGGGGCCATGCTCTGATTCGGATGGAGCACTATGCACAAGCTCGTGTAAAATTCAAGTAGGTGAAGTTACACACGCGCACACATTTCTTCATGTGTATAAAGTGACGAACACAGCTTGAGAGAAATATCTTGTTACGAAATGATTTTTGACAATTTCTTCTTTTTGTATCTTTTGTTTGTTTGTTGAACTTTGGGTTATGCCTACTGGATCGCTTAAAATTTATGTGATACTGCTTAGGCAAGCTCTTCAATTACACAAGGGTGATCCTGCTCCCGTGATTCTGGAGATAATCAATACTATTGAAGGAGGTCCACCGGTTGACGTTTCATCTGTTCGGTCTATGTAAGATTGCAGACAATTTTTAAATTTCATAAACACTTGTTAGAAGCATTCTATTACGTTGCAATTGAATTATGTGCTTATTGGGGAGATGTATTTCACAATGAAACGTATAAGATTCTTTTTGCTGGGTAGTGGTTCTACTGCTTGTATATTGTGACTTAAATTGTTTGTTATTTAGTGGGATTTGCTTTGGATCTGAAGAAGTAAAATATGAACACGATAGGCTGCGTGTCTCATATTATTATCTTTGAACCACTTGATCTAGGTTCAAATGTTCATTTATTATTATCTTCAGTACTCCTCACATTTAGCTGGGATTTATTTTCTTCACATCAAAGCTTAACATGTGGACAATTTATTTAAATGGGTGATAGCGAGACTTGAACCTTTGTTTGCTCTGATACGTTGTTGAACCACTTGATTTAAAAACTTAAGTTAAATAGGGCGAAATGTATAGCATTTCAAAATTGTCTTCAACAATCTTTTTATTATTTTTCCTTGGTTACAATGTGAGTCTCTGAAAAGTGGTAGAATTAAGAAGTGGAAAAGACTAAATTCTTAACGTGAAACTCATTAGAAGTAACAATCACTTAAATCATAAATGCTTGTCTATAGGTGCACTTTGCTGCATTGTTGACAACAAGCCTTCCATTAGAATTACAATCACTTAAATCATAAATGCTTGTCTATAGGTGTACTTTGCTGCCTTTTTGACGACAAACCTTCCATTTAGACAATAACACAATTCAGTCTAGGTAGTGATCCCACTTTGTAGAGCTATGGTGATGCTCAAATCCATGAAAGCTTCATGGAACCATTGTCTTCATCATGTAATCGTGTTGAATGTATAATTTGTTCCCCTTGTTTGTTTGCATTCTTTTAAAAACTTCTATCACTTCAGGATAAGTTGTGGTCTGTTGTGTTTCTATGTTTGATTCTTTGTATAGACATATATAGGGTTTTACTTGTGCATATTGGAGTATGTCTTCGGAATTATTCTTTAGACTACACGGTTGTTTCTTGGGTCTAATTATTCCAATTCATATCAGTTTTTCAAATTGGATTCAAAGTCATTTGAAATTGTTCTTTCATGACATTTGCTTTATGTACTAATGTTTACTGGGGGATCATGCAAATGACTTGTGCTCCCTTAAATCGCTAAAACTTTGGTTAAAGGGATGACAGATCTGACACAAAGTATTCATCAGCACAATTTTAATTTGCTAATATGAAAATGATAAACTAATCCACCTAAATAGTGTCCATTCAACATATGATGTAGGTACGAACATTTGGCTAGAAGTGCACCAGCAGTCTTGGATGATCCTCTTTCAGCTGATTCCTATCTCAATGTTTTGTACATGCCATCAACATTTCCTCGTTCTGAGAGATCTAGGAGGTCTCAAGAAGCTGCAAATAATAATTCTATAAATAATACCGATCTCGATGATGTACCCCGCAGCAACCTTGACAGCATTAGATACCTTGAATGTGTTAACTATTTGCAAGAAGTAAGCATTCGGATTTATTTGTTACTTTATATTCTGACATTACAACATTCTTGACTCATTTATGAATGACGAGTGCATATTATGTTACACGACATTTTTTTCTTAGTTTCTTTTCTTGGTTGTGTGCATATTATGTGTCCGGTCAACTACTTAAGCTTTGATATATTATATTGCAGTATGCTCGTCCCCATTTGCTTAGCTTCTTGTTTAGGCATGGCCATTATGAAGAGGCTTGCTCGTTGTTTTTCCCTGCCAACTCTGCTCCCCCTCCACCTCAGCTATCATCACTAGGAGTGGTTACTTCTTCTTCTTCTCCTCAAAGACCAGATCCTTTGGCAACCGATTATGGAACAATAGATGATTTATGCGACTTGTGTGTTGGTTATGGTGCCATGCCCGTTCTAGAGGAAGTGATATCGTCAAGGGTATCATTGTTACAGGATCAGTCTATGAATCAGTATACAGCTGTAGCTCTTGCCCGCATCTGCCTTTATTGTGAAACCCACAAACATTTTAATTACTTGCACGAGTTCCAGGTATTTGCATTTTCCTTTCCTCATTTATTTCAGCCAAATTGAAAATAAAAAAAAATAAATAAATAAAAAAAAAAATTATATATATATATATAAAATGATGATCATGATCATGATCATGATCATGATCATAATAATAATAATAATAATAATAATAATAATAATACTGAAATCATATATCATGAATCTTTTACCTCACATGTCACTCATTAGTTCTCTAGGGCTCAATTTCTTAAGATCTATGAACAATTCATCCACCAAAGATCAAGTTCCATTCTGAATGGACTTGTTGAGAAATAATGTGAAAAGAACCACTCGCTGACAAATCATTTATAAATTGATTGACACACATTCATGACTACAGTATCATCTATCCATTGCTCTATAAAATTGGCGCATGTTTCTCAATAGTTCAATGTTGGAATTTTTTCCTTTTACCTTGTAGTCAACATTCTGTTTCTTGACCAAGAATTAGGTTATTGTTTGATAGGTTTTCTAGTTTGACTAATTAGGGTTTATTTACTTATTCCGTTCTCAAAATAGGTTTAATTAGACTCTATATACAGAGTGTCTTATTCATTGTAATACACACATTTTAAATATTGAATAAAACCTCCCTCTCTCTCTCTCTCTCTCTCTCTCTATATATATATATATATATTGCCTCCTACGTCATGATGGTTCTTGATGAAAAATATTTAACTGAGAAATTATTGCACTGAATGAAGGCACTGTGACCAATTCTGTCAATTTTCTTGAACAGATGTTAAACATGTGTTGAGTTCTTTAATGGTTGAGGTGTGATATGGATTGAGTGGCAGAAGGGTTGAATAAGAGTTAAGAATATTACGTATTATATGGACAAAAAAATCGTACATTTTCAGGGGCTGTTGAGCATATTAGGACTCATGAAAAAGTAGTTTTCGCATATATGGGCTGCTTTGGTTCTCTCTCACAAATTGTATTATTTTTCCTAAAATAACTTTTTAGACAGGTAATTCTCATTTTATTTTTTCTTGTCAATTTTCTTGAACAGATGTTAAACATGTGTTGAGTTCTTTAATGGTTGAGGTGTGATATGGGTTGAGTGGCAGAAGGGTTGAATAAGAGTTAAGAATATTACGTATTATATGGACAAAAAAATCGTACATTTTCAGGGGCTGTTGAGCATATTAGGACTCATGAAAAAGTAGTTGGGCTGCTTTGGTTCTCTCTCACAAATTGTATTATTTTTCCTAAAATAACTTTTTAGACAGGTAATTCTCATTTTATTTTTTCTGACTTGACGGTTCAGGTGATCAGAAAGGACCATGTGGCTGCTGGGCTTTGCTGCATTCAGTTGTTCATGAATTCTGCTTCTCAAGAAGAAGCTTTAAAGCACTTGGAACGTGCCAAGGTCAGTCATCACTGTCTTCAATATATTTCCTTGTTATGTATCAACATCATGCTTCTTATATTGTTTTACTTCAAAGATTTAGAAGGAAAATGAAGCTTGTTAGAGGTGGTTAAGTATTTAGCATGATCATGATTTCTATACATGAGTTAGCGCGTAATTTTTTTCTTTGGGCTTCTGACTGGAGACCATTTATTCAAAAATTGCATGCAGTTACTATTGTAGTAGTTCTAGAGCCTTTCTTTATTAGTATGATCAGGTTATGCAGCATATATATAATCTAAACACTTCATCAATAATATTTTAGAACAAGATCATGATTCATATCTCAAAAATAACTGGTCAGTCCACTAATTCTTCAGTGTGCTGAATTAATTGTATCTGTGAACTTATCAAGTAGATATTTGTCAAAGCTTAAAGTATAAAACAATTAATCTCAAAATTATTGCACTCCTATACATATGAAAAACTTAGAATTTAATATCTATGCCTTGTTTGGTTTACCTACAAATTAGATTTTTACTATATTTTGATAAAAGTTGATGAAATGTGTGGGTGAAGAATTGATATAAACTACAAGTCCCATGAAATGTGAAGTTGAAAATGAGTTTGATGAAAAACGAGTTTTAGAAAATGGAGGCCAAATGGGAGCTATATATAGAGAGAAGTGAAACATTAACAACTTTCTGTTTGAGTGTCCCTTTTCCCTGGTCAAGTTGTAGGGGTAGTTCATGTTACTTCTCAGTTTGCCTCCCAGTTGTAGAAATCAAATAAAATTGTTAGAAAGGACATCCTTCCTACAATGGCCTTCATGGATTCCAAGTAAAGACGAGTAAGTTTTTTGGGATCATTTTTTTTGAGGCCATTTCTAATACCATCAAAGGTTAGAGACTTTGAGCTGAGTTTATGCTGAAGGTGTTTTCATTTGTTCAGTGCTTGCCAGGGTTTGTGCCAGAATCCTTAATGTGAGCTGTAGAAAGCTAATGCTTCCAGCGTCCAGATTTTTCTCTCTTGCCAGAGATTAGAGTTGCTTGCTTTTAGTAAATGAATTTGGAATCATGAGGATTTCATGCAGCCCCCCTGAATCTGGTGTGGTGAGGATTTCAGTGTAGTAATGTGATTGAGATGTAGCTCCACAGATGGCACAAATATAAAAAAATATCAAACAGTTTTCCTTGTAATGCCTATGTTTGGCTCCCATTTTTTCCAAAATTCATTTTTTCAAAACTCATTTTCAACCACACATTCTCCCATGAAATAATTTTACACGTATACCCGAAACTTTTTCTTATTTTTTAATCACACATACTCCCACAAAACACTATTTCAAAATACATTTGGCTAAAAAATGGGGCTCAAACAAGGGCAATATTTACACAAGGAAAAGGATTAAAAAATAAAAAAATCAATGCATTACATTTAATGTCCATGTGTGATAATGATGGATGACATGTCACTTTTGCTAGTAAACGTTGATTGCGTTGCTCGGACAAATGTCATGATCTGGAGAGGTATATACATTTTTCAAGAGTCAGTTTCATATAAATGCAATTTCGACATGGATACTGCATGGTTCAGAAAAGTAGAGTAACATAGAATCAGTTAATTTGTGGGAAGTATAACTCAATATTTAAAAAGAAGAATTCTTGAATATGACTGGTGAAGTAGCAGAATGCTTGGTCTTTTTATATGTGGAGCACTCAAGGATTACTGCGAGTCTTTGGGTTTAGTGCATGATGCTTTGAAATTCTCTCAAAGCGCATTCTTTAATTTATTTCTC